TCAAGTGGTAGAGCGCTCGCCTTGAGCTGAAGAGCTGAGGGACAGCGCCCAGGCCCAGAGTTCAAGCCCCACGACTGACCAAAAAAAAAAAAAAGAAAGCAACTTGCTAGAGAAAATTGAGAGGGAATGGAATCTGGGTGTGAGTGCTGGCCCCTTACTAAGTTTGTCCTTTTAGCCAATTGCCAACATTCACAACTTATCAGCCTGCTCAGGGTAACCAAAGGATAATGAAATTTACAGGTCACAAAGCTGGCTAGTGAAATTATGGGAGTAAAGCATTCGATAACCAGAGCGCAATATGCTGTGGTTATTATTAATAATTGAAGGAAGAAAATTTCACAAATATTTTTTAAAGAATATTGACCAGAATATTAAAGAGAAACACGAAAAATAAAATGAAATTAGCCAAGTGCCAGTGGTTCACATCTGTACACCTAGCTACTCAGGAGGCTGAGATCTGAGGATTGCAGTCCAAAGCCACACAGGTCTGGAGATTCATCTCCAATTAACCAACAGAAAAGCAGAAGTGGTGCTGTGGCTCAAAGTGGTAGTGTTAGCCTTGAGCAAAAAGAACTCAGGGACAGGGCCCACGCTCCAAGTTCAAGCTGCATGACTATCCAAAAATAATTACATTAAAAAAAAATTAAATTACTAGTCATTCTGATCATGTACGTTCTTATAGGTACATGAGCTCCGGGTTGAGAATAGCACAAACCCGCCAAGAGAAAGGGGCTTTCACACCTGTCTCTGCCCTTTGTTCTGCTGAGTTACAGGAAGTCCAACTGAGAAACGGGAAGTGAAACCAGTTCTTTCTTTCCTAGTCCTTGAGTGACTCTTACCTTAATATATCCTCCAGCAGAGACAAGCATTTTGCTATCTGGAGAAAAGCAAAGGTCGGTCACCCAGCCCCCATGGGTAGCAGCTGCTTCTTCTACAGAAATCGGAGCACATAAATGAAGAAGCTCACCGTTTGAAACATTCCATATCTACATAAACATGATACAAAATTTGTTAACAGGGTTACCCAGCTTCTCTGGTTTTAATATAGAGAGATAATTCTAAGCACGTGTTTTCTAAAATTATTTTACTAGACATCTAAACATCCGATGACTTGCAGATTCTATGTCAGACAAGCAAGAGATATACAAGAGAATAAGAAAAATAGAAGTACACATAGCTCAATAGTTAAACCCATCATTGCAAATAAACGTCTCCCCACAAAAATCAAGTGAACAAACAGGAAAAACTCAGAAAGAATTCAGTAAAAAAACAAGATGTAACTCATATACACAAACACAACAGCTTTCCTACATTCTGAATAACCAAATAGAAAAACATTTTTTTCTTTCAGAATATGTACCAAAGAAAAAATTTTAAATAACACTCAAGATTTTGAGAGTGTTTTTTTTTTTTTCCTGTAGGGGCCTCTGAAAAATGAAGCACTGCCACCTGACTGCAAAGGAGCCTTTTCACTGGAAGACAGGGCCTCGGCCCACCGTGGCTCGGCCACTTCAGCTAGCACTGCATTTATGTCATAGGACGGAGACAGCTGGCTCTCAGTCCTCAAGGAGAACTTCATCTTCCTAGAATAAGACCTGTGTTCCTGCAAAATACCTACTCTCCTATTCCTCTGTGCTACATACCTAATTCCTTGAATTTTATATTCTGTTTAAAAACAAAAACAAAACAAAAAATACCTCATGGATATTGGTCATCAAAACAGATATCTAATGCCCCAACTTTTTCCCATGTATGTCCAATTCTTCTACTATCACCAAACTATCTGACTGTTTTGCCATTATTTCTGCTCTTCCAGTGTACAGTATTTTCCATACTGCACTACATTTCCGCAGACACAGGTGAGAGCAGTCTCCCACACCTCCCAGAAAGACTTTTGCCAAATAAAATTGTCATGGCTTACATTATATTTAAAGCACTGCAGGATGATAAAAACTGACCTATCATGTAGACTGCAGTTTAGTGAGGAGCCTTTCCATGCCCACATAATGAGGGAAAGGGAGCTTTTGAACTATTAACAGACAATCCAAAGAGGATTTGCAATAAACTACACATTGCCTAATGAGTGCTAAAGCTCTTTTCTTGGGGGGGTGGGAATGAAAAACAGCATAATCTGCAACTCATTTATAACCTAGACAATGATTTGCAAATTTACTTTCCTGAAATTCTGACACTAAAAACAACCTTTGTGTCACATCCAAAAATTAAGATGAATCATTCTCAACTAAGAGCAGAGAACCAACTGCAAATAACTAGGGCACTTGTTCTTCACATACATAAGGAAATGCCTTAGTCTAACTCTAAAATGAATCCTTTCCTGCAGTGGAAGGTAGCTATGAATACAGTCAGTATGCAAAAGAAACAAAGCAAAGAACGTCTCACCTAACCAAAACCTCAGGACCTATGCTGCCCTGCCCCATTACTGTGGTCCCCAATATGATGAAGAGTGCAGGAGAAACAGTGCTCATGTCAGCATACACCCTACCCTGATTTCTCCATTGTCATCACCGGTAGCCAGCAAGGTACTGTCCACAGAGAAGGTAGAGCAGCGCACACAGGCATCGTGGCCCTTCAACTCATGAAGAGGTGAGAGGTGTTCAAAACTCCAAATCTGTAAGGCAATTAGGATTGCTTAGGAATGGTCAATACACTCAAAATAAGCCTGCCAAAGTGCTATCCAACCATTCAATTCAATCACATGCAAGTTCTAACATTTGACAGCGCATAAATTTTCATGAGATGCCCAAGCTCTAACCTATGTTAAATTTCCAAGTTTCTCTTTAAAATTAGGTGAAAAACGAAAGTCACACCTTCTTTCTTCACACTCAGGAAGAACAACACAGAATCAGTTAAAAACAAGCTGAAGAAGAAAAACACACCTGAGGCTAAGTCCTGGTTCCATTCTTAGCTAGCTCCTAGTGACCTAGCATAATAAGGTTCTCTAGCATTTTCTTCATCTGTAAAATGAGGGCAATAGTAGCCATGGCATAAAGATTAAACTAGGTCAAAGGAGGGTAAACAAGAGCATGTGGCAAGTGCTCTTCAAAGGCTGGTTCCTATACTGCCCTGCTATTTGGGATCAAAATGCTGCCCTTTTCCTTCCACTGTTCTCTCTGTGGTTCCCTAACCACTGAACAAGTTCCCAATGGAAACTACCAGGCACTGTGAACCAAGAGCTTGTGAAACTAGAAACAATATCTTTCCTTGAGGTTTATATTTTAATAAGAAACATAGCTCGAGAACAGTCAGTAAACATTTACATAAATATATCCGCCAACAAATATAAATAAAATACAACGGAAACACTGAATGCAGAACAGCCAACTGCCTGATGGTCAAGAAATGCTTCACTAAAAAAAGCAGCTATCAAGCCGGGCACTGGTTGCTCACGCCTGTACCCCTAGCTACTCAGGAGGCTGAGACCTGAGGATCATGGTTCAAAGCCAGCCCGGGCAGAAAAGGCTGTGAAATTCTTGTCTCCGATAAACCACCAGAAAACCAGAAGTGATGCTGTGGCTCAAAGTGGTAGAGCACTAGCCTTGAGTGAAAGGGCTCAAGAACACTGCCAAGTCCATGAGTTCAGGTCCCATGACTCCCTGCCCCCCAAAAAAATTCCTTTCAATGATTTTTATTGCAACAAAACAAAGTAGAGAGTCTGTAAGATTAGTTATAGATAAAAGGTAATCCAAAGGAAAAAATTTAAAGTTTTCAGTGTTACTCATTTAATCAATGTGACATTAAGCAAGTGCCAATGGGCAACCTCAAAAAGCGTATGTCCTAAGTCAACTCACATAAACTTGTCTAGCTTCAATTTTTGCATCTGTATAACAGGGACAGTGGCACCTATGGTGTAGAGATTAGTAAGATTATAGGGTATGAAATTCTTAGCATAAGGCAAGTACTCTTTATAGGTTAGCCACTATCCTATCCTATGAGCCCAAACATGTAAACAGAAACTTAGTTTTTTATACATAACTATCATTCAAAATATATAAACATAGTCATTACAATTGAATGACCTACCTTTGCAGACTTATCGGCAGAGGTAGAAGAAAACTTGGTAGTATCAGAAGAAACATCACAAGAAAGTACTGTACCCTGGTGACACACAAAGTCCTTTTCTATTCTACCAGTGATAATATTCCATACCTTAAAAGGAAAAAAGAATGCTTAGAAGTTTATACTTTTGCTGGGTGCTGATGGCTCATGTCTATAACCTTCCTCTACTCAAGTGGCTGAGATTGAAGTGTCACAGTTCAAAGCCATCCAGGGCAGAAAAGTCCAAGAAACTAGTAAGTCTAATTAACTAGTAAAGAAGTCAGGTTAGAGGCCTGGCTCAAGTGTAGAGTGATAGCTATGAGCAGGTAAACAGAGAAAGAGTGCAAGGCCCTGAACTGATGGCTCCATGATGGCAAAGAGGTTGAGATATTCAGAAACATTTTGTATTAAAGCATGTGATTAACCACAAAATAGATCTATAAAAAAGGTTTTATTTAGCACAGCCAAGAGTGTTTGGCTCCTCTGGTCTTCTTACTTTAGTATCTCTTATGTACGATTTTAGTATAAATGTTGATGAACATATAAAAAAGGCTTGACTTAAATAACTCCTCTGTATATCACTCTTATAATAACAAAAAATACAACTTTAAAAAATATATTATGAAAAATTTAAAAAGTTATGTGAAGATAAGGAAACACAGGCAGAATAAATTTTTTAACTTAATTACTATCTATGTGCTTGTCGCTATTTCAATATCAGAATATTTTTTCTTTCTCATTCTAGGCTTTTTCTTATTTTTTGTAAAGGTGATATACAAAGGGGTTGCAGTTACAGATCAATTTTCTTAAAAAGACAAATCTGAGATTCAAATTACCTTTACTGTTCCATCAAATGACCAAGAAAGCAATCTTGAATTTGTTAAAAGTCGGAAGTCTTTCACTGTTTCCTGGTGGGCTTGCAGAAAGACATATTCCTCTGACTGCCAATTCCAAACCTGAATACCAAAGAAATAAATCCATTACAACCTTTCCCCAACAATATCCTACTGGAAAGGGAAAGCCCACATTCTCTTGATATGAAGTTGTCATCCTCATGGCATTTCAGAGAAGAGTAACAAAGAAAATGGTATCCACATTTTAAAATGACAAAATAAGATGGGGTTAATTAACTTGACTAGAAGAAAAATGAAATACTTTTCCCCCTAAATAAAATTTGTTTTCTTCGGTTGCTTATTGAACAATTAATTTTACCAGAAGAGAAAAGCTACAATAAGTGAGTGATCTCACCATCTGATTAAATCTTCCAGAGAAAATTATCCCAAATACATATTCACTGATTTCTGAACCTACAAGATAGGCAAGTGTGCAGATTCTGGCTCCACTGAAGCTGGTCCAGGAGGGTAAGGCAGCCAAAGTGCTTAAAACCAGATCACAGAATTTCCAAGCTTCACAGGCACAGGTCTTAGCTAGCTCCTAATGTAATCCTCAAAAATCACATACTAAAGCTACCAGCACAATCATGCTTATTGCAGCATAGTTTACCAACTGAGATGTCCTTCGGTAGATGAACAGATCAAGAAAATGTGGTATAGTGGGCACCAGTGGCTCATGCCTGAAATCCTAGCTATTCAGGAGGATGAAATCTAAGGATCAAGGTTCAAAGCCAGCCTGGGCAGGAAAGTCAGTGAGACTATTATCTCCAATAAACCACTCAGAAACCCAGAAGTGGTGCTATGGCTCAAGTGGTAGAGGGTTAGCCTTGAGCTGAAGAGCTGAGGTACAGAGTTCAGGCCCAGAGTTCAAGCCCCATTACCAAAAAAAAAAAAAAGTGGGGGGCTGGGGGTTTAGCCCAGCAGAAGGGTGCCCACCTGGCGCGCGCAAGGCCCTGGGTTCGGTTCTCAGCCCTGGAAAAAAAAAAAAGTGGTACACACACAAAATGGAGTTCTATGATTCCATTAAAAGAATTAAATTGTCCCATTTATAAGGACATGAAAAGACCTGGAAAAAAATTATATGAAGCAAAGCAAGCCAGGCCCAAAGAAATGCAGATTGCATGGTTTCCCTCATTTGTAATAACTAGATCATGTCCATGACATCCTTAGCAGAGGATCACAATAGCCCAATCCCTAGGTGCACATGACCATAAATAATGAAGCATATCACAATGAACTTCAGCAATTGGAAACAAGAGATTTCTATAATATACTGTTTGCAATTATTTCTTTTTTTCTTTCCTTCTCTTTTTTTTTGTATTTGGTTTTTGTGTGTTTGTTTTTCTCTTTTTTTTTGTTTGCTGTACCCTTTGTCTTGTATGTAACATTCATCTGATTCACAGAAGGAAAAGGGAACCACAAAAACACCAGGACAAGGATGAACTAATGCAACAATGATACTCAGTAGACACTAAGTTAGAATGAACTTTACAACTTGGAAGGAAGGGGATTGGGGAGGGGAAAGTGGGAGAAAATGAATAAAAGGGGTAACAGTGTCCAAAAAGAAATGTACTCATCACCTTACTTATGTAACTGTAACCCCTCTGCCCATCACCTTTACAATAAATAAGGAAAAGAAATCACAGAATATAGGGTTAGGGTTAGAAAAAAAAATTTTTTTTAATGAAAAAAAGAAAAGAAATCACAGAATAATAGGGCATTATTTTTCACATCAAACTTCAGAAGAGATCCAGCCATAACAGGAGAAGGAAAAAGTGAAATAATGCCAGCAACTGGCACAAAATAAACACATGAGCATATCTGAGGCACAGCAGTGAACAGAAGGGACACTGAAAGCCACATCCATGTACAGAACATCCTTTCCTCACTAAATCAATGCATCTGTATTCAGAATCTTGATAATTCCTGACTTCAAACTAACCTAGTTAATAAACATTAATTACTCACCTATGTGTGAATCAAACAAGAACCTATCAGAAAGAAACCCAAGAGTCAAGCCAGATGTAGTTCATACTTGTTAATTCCAGCACTTGGGATGTGAAGGAAGAAAGACTGCAAGTCCAAACCAAGGCTCAACTACATAATGAATTCCAAGCTAATTTGGTAACATAACAAGTCTCTGTTTCAAAGAAAAAAAAGCAAAAACAAAAGAGAAAATCAAAAGAAATGAGGCAGCAAAAAAAGTAAATAAAAATTCTAGATAGAAGCTACTAATGATGGAAAAGAAAGTTCTATGGAATTGAAAAAAGCAATTCCTAGGACAGGCATAGTAGTTCAAGTCTATAATCACAGCTACTTGGGAGGCAGAGTAGGAGGAACACAGTCCAACGCTGGTCTTCAAAAAGCAGAAGACCCACTGGACCCTGGTGGCTCACGCCTGTAATCCTAGCTACTCAGGAGGCTGAGATCTGAGGATCACAGTTCAAAGCCAGCCCAGACAGGAAAGTCCGTGAGACTCTTATCTCCAATAAACCACTAGAAAACTGGAAGTGGCACTGTGGCTCAAGCGGTAGAGCGCTCGCCTTGAGCTGAAGAGCCCAGGACAGCGCCCAAGCCCAAAGTTCAAGCCCCACAACCAACCAAGAAAAAAGCAGACAACCCTATCTGAAACAAAACAAAATATACCCTAAATGCAAAGGACTGAGGGTGTGGTTCAAGTAACAGTACTTGCCTAGGGATCTGAGGCCCTGAGTTCAAACCTCAATACCATCAAAAAAAAAAAAAAAGCATTCCAAGTAAAAGCATAATTCACAAACTGAGAGGCAGGTTTTATGCTTTGCACCACAGCAGATTTTTTTTTCTGTTGAGATGAGGATTCTCACAAACTTACTTTTTCTTTTATGGCCCAGGCTGGCCTAGAACCACAATCCTCGCAATTGATGGCTCATAAGTAAGTAGGATTACAGGCCTGAGCCACCAGTGCCCAGCTGAAAGGGGCTTTTCAAATATGGGGTATGAAAAGTACAACAGGAAAACATGAAAAGATTATAGGGACTTACTTATAGCTCAATCTAGCTAAAACATAGGACAAACAGAAAAAAACAGCAGAGAAAAAAAAGACTGGAAAGGTATTAAAAGAAACAGCCTAAGAGCTGAAAAGCTTAAAAACCATGTGCAAATAACCATATAAGATGATGCTAAGTGAAATGAATGCCAAGATATGGACACAAGAGGTCTGTCTTTATTGTTATTGTTTTAAATGTACCATGTGATTTTATTTTTTGTTGTTGTGGTTGTTTCCTTTGTATGTTCTTTCCCCTATGGCATATCCCCTGTTCTCAATGTACTTGATTTTGATACCCTGCATCTTATATATACACGTATGTCTAATCTGGGGAGGGGAAGGAGAATAACAAAACGCTGAAATCAAGGACCCAGGATGAACCATTGCAACAAGGATACCCACAGGACAGTATGTTGAAAACAAACTTTGCAATTTTGAATGGTGGGGGGTGGTAGGGAAGGAATAATGGGACAACAACAAGGAAGGGCAGGGTAACAATGATCAACAAGAAATGTACTCATTGCCTTACTCATGTAACTATAACCCCTCTGTACAGCATCTTAACAATAAAATAAAATTTTAAAAAATTTCATTAGCTCGACACCTGTGGCTCACGCCTATAATCCTAGCTACTCAGTAGGCTGAGATCTGAGGATGACAGTTCAAAGCCAGCCCAGGCAGGAAAGTCTGTGAAACTCTTATCTCCAATTAACCACTAGAAAACTGGAAGTGGCGCTGTGGCTCAAGCGGTAGAGCACTTGCCTTGAGATGAAGAGCACAGGGACAGCACCTAAGCCCAGAGTTCAAGCCCCAGGACCGACCAAAAGGAAAAAAATTTCACTATACCATTTACATAATGAATAAAATACAATTGGTAAACTCAAAAAAATAAAAGAAGAAGAAAAGGAACAGCATGGAGGACCCAACAAGGTGTAGACAAGTCCAGAAGAATAAAAACATAAGGGAAATTCACCCACACAAGTATGCAGATTAGTAATATTCTGGTATAGTTTTTTGACTGGTGAAAGTAAAATAATAAAATGATCTTTTTGTGTATGAGGCTTGAACTCAGTGCCTGGGCCCCATCCCTGAGCCTTTTTTGCTCGAGGCTGGCATTGTACCACATGAGCCACAGCCTCACTTCTGGTTTTTTTGGTGGTTAGTTGAAGCTAAGAGTCTCATGGACATTCTGGCCCAGGCTAGCTTTGAGCATTGATCCTTAGATCACAGCTTCCTGAGTTGCTAGGATTATAGGTGTGAGTCACCAACATTTGGCCAAAAATCTTTTTTTTCAATTAACTTATTTTTTTAATTTTAAATGTTTTATTATCTTTAATCGTTTTTCAAAGGAGCTTAAATTTAGTATAGATATGTGAGTACAATGCTCCTTGATCAATGACACCCCTTCCATCATTCTCTCCAAACTACACTCATCCCTTCAAGTTACCTTGTTAAAACATTAAAAATGGATGAAGTATTCTGAGCAGAATAGAAAAAGAAAATAAAACCCAACATATTTCTAAAAATAATATTTTTCTAAAAATATTTCTAGAAATTATTCTCCTGGTAGCTGAGAATATTTTCAAGCAGGTCATAAAAATCTTATGAGTTTAACTTCATATAGTATACAATGTCTCAACAGAATTTCATCAGATGAAGTTTAGTTTTATCCATTTCCAAGACATATGGAGAAGAAAAAAATGTGACTATTCCACTGAGTTTCACAGCTAATAAAGGAGCATCATGGGAGCCTACAAAAGAAGTTGCTGTACAGAAACCAAATTTCATTTCAGTCATATTCCTTCACAGGACTCAAAAAGATAAAAACACCTTTTTTCCAAAACAGCTTTTAAAAGCATACTTAATTACTGCCATTGTAAGAAATATATATACTAAGTAAAAGCTGAGTAAGAATCTGAGGCCCTAAATTTAAGCCCTGGATTGGGGGTAGGCGAGTGATAGCACTTTATAAGCATGCCATATGAAGGTAAGTATCAAAAGAAACATCTAGGACTGGGAATGTGGCTTTGTGGTGAAGTGCTCGTCTAGCATGCATGAAGCCCTGGGTTCCATTCCTCAGTATCACATACACAGAAAAAAAGTGGTGCTGTGGCTCAAGTGGTAGAGGGCTAGCTAGCCTTGAGCACATGAGGTTCAGGGACAGTGCCCAGGGCCTGAGTTCAAGCTTCAGGACTGTCACAAAAAAAAAATCTAAAAGCTAAAAGTGGTGTTTCTGAAAAAAATAAGAAATGGGAGAAAGATCTGTTTTGTTTTGTTTTTAATAATAAGCCTTGTAATACTGTTTGCATTTTGAAGTGTGTATATCAGAACTTCAACAAAAAATCAAGTGAACTGGGCATAGTGGCTGACTCTGACAGCCTAACTACTTGGGAGAGGAAGAGGAGGAGGATGGTTTGAGGCCAACTGGGGCAACAATTTCATCAGATGGCCATCAACCAATAAAAGCCAGGTATGGTGAGGCATCTATCATTACTGCTAGGCAAGTAGTATAAACTGGAGGATCACAATCCAGGCTAGCCTGGGTATATACATAAAACACCATTCCAAAAAAATGTCAAAAGTAAGAAGAGCTAGGAGAGTGGCTCAAGGGAGGGACAGTCTGCCTAGCTAGTGTTAAGACCCTGAATTTAAACCTCAGTATTGCCCCCCCCAAAAAAAAGGAAGGAGGGAAGGGGAAAAGAAAGAGAGAAAAGGGGAGGGACAAGAGGAGATGGAGGGGAAGGAGAAAGGAAAAGGGGAGGGAAGGAGGGAAGGAGAAAAGGAAGGAGGGAAGGCGGGCAGGCGGGGGCGGGGGCAGGGGCAGGCAGGCAATTAAGTGAATTTTAAAAGACTAATAAGTTTACAAACTCCTTCATTACGGCAAATTATTTTTTTCTCAGATTTTTATCCCTGTAATAAGTGTTACTATTAAAAGAGAATGAAATTTTTCAAATTAGATTAAGGTAAAAAGAAAATACATAAATATGGCAACAAATACATTTATTAATGCAAATACAAGGAAGGCAAGAGAATTTAAATGAAGCCTTAATTTTCACATTGTCTGTCATCCACCCCACCTTCCCATACACACACAAATATGCAACACGAATGTGTTTCCTCTAAGCTGGTGTACATTATCTAAATGTGTATCCAAAAGTGTATTTAAGAAGTACGTCAATTTTAGGCACAATCAGGTGTTCTATTGCAAGAGAAGTCTCCTTGCATTCCTTTCTACAATAGTACCTAGGTTAGAAATGCATCTGCCCGCTTACCTGAATTACAGAATCATCAGAACTTGAAATAAGGGCCTTCTCATCAGCTGTGAACTGGATGTGCCGTAGTGCTTTCTTGCGCTCAGTTCTGGATTGGAACACTCTTCTGTTCAGAAGTTCTAAAATCTTCAAAGTAGAAAAACCACAGAAAATTAATGCAAAGAAGTTCAATAATGTCAAAGTATTAAAAGCAAACATTATCAAACAGAAAGGGCATGGAATTTCCATCTCTTATTGTCTTTAATTTAAATACACACCAATACGTGTGTATACACACATAGATACATGTATACACATATGCACGTATCTGAAAATCAAGCATTTTCTGGAAGGGCTAGATGGCAGAGCAGGAACCCATGATCAGTCCTTCTGAATATTCAACTACCCAATTCATCAAACAAGTGGCAGTCTGGGCTTAGTCTCCTAAAAGAAAATGACATTTGTGATGAATAAGAAAGAAAAAAAGAAATAATCCTGGATGAGACAAGCAAGCTCTTCAAAAGTCAACACAGAGAAAAGCAAGATAAAGGATGATGAGGAAGACAGGTGTGGGAATAAAAATATATAAGTGGGAGGACAATACAATGGCGAGATTTAGGGAGCTAAGCTGGGTACCGGTGGCTCACGCCTGTAATCCTAGCTACTCAGGAGGCTGACATCTGAGGACTGCAGTTCAAAGCCAGCCCGGGCAGGAAAGTCCGTGAAATTCTTATCTCCAATTAACCACCAGAAAATCAGAGTGGTGCTGTGGCTCAAGTGGTAGAGCACTTGCCTTTAGCTGAAGAGTACAGGGACAGTGCCCAGGCCCAGAGTTCAAGCCGACCAAAAAAAAAAAAAAAAAAGATTTAGGAGGGCTGAAGATGAATATGCCAAACTGAGATTGAAAAATAACACACATTTTAAAAAAGACAATCAAAATGCTTTTAAATGAACTCGTACCACAAAGAGTAAACATGCTTCTTTGCCCAAATTAAAATATATTTAAGAACACTTAAGGAAAATATAGATGATACAGTAACGAAAGATTCCAGAAGTTTAAACCTAAGCCACATGTCTGAAAAAAAGGCTGCTTAGCAAGCAAAGGGGGAATTCTGTGAATGGGAGTCTTCCTAAATGAACAGATGGACTTTTTCAATCCCTCAGGGCAAGGCAGAGTAGTATAATATTGAAAACATAGGCTTGGAGACCTGGGCTGGAATATTAGATCTGCATACCAAAAAGTTGTAGAAATTAAGAGTTTAGGTATCTGTGAAACACGATTAATAATAGCTAATATCCAGGATGTAGTAAGACTTCAATGAAAGCATCTGGCTCAATTACACAGCCAAGTGTATGGGTATCTTGGTTAACCCATATGAAATCTCCTTTTTTTCTTCTTTTTTTTTTAATGTGTCAGTCTGGGGCTCAATCTCAAGGCCTGTGTGCTACCCTTAAGCTTTTTAGCTTAAGGCTAGAAGCTACCACTTGAGTCACAGCTCCACTTCCAGCTTTTTAGTGGAAAATTAAAGATAAGTATCTCATACTTTCCTGCCTGAGCTGATTTCAAATGTGTGATCTTCAAATCTCAGCCTCTTGAGCAGCTAATAATGATAGGTGGGGGCAAACTAATTTCCATTTTATAGGTGAAAAATAGATTATAATTAGCTAGGCGCTGGTGGCTCATGTCTGTTATCCTAGCTACTCAGGGAGCTAAGATCTTAGGGTCAAGGTTCAAAACTAGCATAGGTAAGAAAGTCTATGAGATTCTCATTTCCAATAAACCACCAGAAAGCTGGAGGTAGAGCTATGGCTCAAGTACTATAGCACCATCCTTGAGGGATAATGTTACTACTACTAGACAGTATCCAGACTCTGAGTTCAAGCCCCACAACTAGCAAATTTTAAAAAAGAAGAAAGAAAAGGGGCTGGGAAGGTGGCTCAGTGGTAGAGTACTTGCCTTGCAAGCAAGAGGCCCTGGTTCGATTCCTCAGCACCACATAAGCAGAAAAAGCCAGAAGTGGCTCTGTGGCTCATGTGGTAGAGCACTAGCCTTGAGCTGAAGAGCTGAGTAACAGTGCCCAGGCCCAAAGTTCAAGCCCCATGACCAACAAAAAAAAAGGAAGAAAGAAAAAGGGAAAAGCACAACAAAGCAACAACAACAAAAACAATGTGGTGCTGAGTTGGTGCCAAGGTACAGGAAAAAGGAAGCAAAAACCCTTTCAAAGTAATTATGCACAACACTCTGAGAGATGAGCCTGCAAGGAAGACAAAGGTCTACGTGTGAATGTATAATCATCCTCACTCAACAAACAACCATAATATACCCTCTCAGAAAATCACCCATCTTGTTAATAAATTTTTCACAATAATGAAAATGTAAGCTCTTTTTCATGGGGGAGGGGGGTGTCCGGTCATGGGGCCTGAACTCTGGGCCTGGGCGCTGTCCCTCAGCAGTTCAGCTCAAGGCTAGCGCTCTACCACTTGAGCCACAGCGCCACTTCTGGTTTTTTCTTTTTGCTTACGTGGTGCTGAAGAATCGAACCCAGGGCCTCATGCATGCAAGGCAAGCGCTCTACCACTGAGCCACCTTCCCAGTACAACCCCTGCTTTCACTGTATTTGATGTTGGTATAATTTGTGGAGGGGAAGGGGAAAAACAAATCGTTTAAATACAGATACAGGTGGACCCATTGCAACAATGAGATATACAAGTCGTTATGTTGAAAACGAACTTTACAACTGTGGTGTGGGGGGGAGAGGGAGGGAGGATTGGGGGGGCGGGGGAGGATGGGAAAGATGGGAAGGAGAGGCTACAATGCTTAATAAGAAATGTATTCATTGGGCTGGGAAGGTGGCTCAGTGGTAGAGCACATGCCTTGCATGCCAGAGGCCCTGGGTTCGATTCCTCAGCACCATA